GACAGCTACTGGCACAGTAAAGCGAAGAATTCTGAAGACCAAGGCCTCCCAGTCTAGAGCCTCTAATGAAGATCTGAATCAGGGCCTCGCTTTGTAAAAATATGGAACGCTTCACCAATTTGCGTGTCATCCGTGTGCAGGGGCCAGCCCATCTTCTCTGTATTGTTCTAATTTTCGTATAAGTGCTGCCGAAGTGAGCACTTGTTTTTAAATTCTGACTCGGGCGTGTATTTGCCAGTCTTCAACTTTTCTGGAGGTGAGAGAAACCTGGCTTCCGCTTTCCACAATACATTTACACCAAAGTTCCAGAATTACTAACCCATGCTGTTGCAAAAAAATAACCCTAGAGGATTCAGTATTGGCTTACTGGTCTCTTTGCTTTTAGCCTGAAGACACATCGGCTGTGTCAGCAGCATGTTCCCCCCCGCCCGCTTCAGTGTGGCTGCGTTATTCATTTGAAATACAGTTGGGTTCATTCATTTCTGATTTTTTTCTTCTTTGAGTTGGGATCTCACTCTGTCGCCTAGGCCAGACTGCAGTCAGTAGTGCTTTCACAGCTCATGGCAGCCTTGACCTCTTGGGCTCAGATAATCCTCCCGCCTCAACCTCCCGAGTGGCTGGAACTACAGGGGTGTGCCACTACACTTGGCTAATTTTTTGATTTTTTTGTGGAGCTGAGGTCTCACTATGTTGCCCAGGCTGGGCTTGAACTCCTGGGCTCACACAAGCCTCTTGAGGTGCTGGGGTTACAGGCATGAGCCACCGTGCCTGGTCTTTTCTGTTTGTATTACATTTTTGTGTTTCCCTCCGTTCTCACTGATTCTGTGTCATTTATGTGAAGGCATTTTCTGGGTTCTAAATTCAAAAGGGTGTATTCTGAGAAGTGTCCCCCCCAGCCCACATTGCTGTCCTTGTCCCCCCCGACTGCCTGTGAGCCACATTCTCGGCCATTTCTGATTTATCCTTTCCCATGGCATTTTGCAGAATGAGCAGATGCACATATATTTTCCTGTTTTCTTTCTTCCTCAGAAGCACACCGTGGTTGTAGTCTTTGCTTTTTTTTTTAATACCTCGCAGCGTCCATATCCGTTTGCAGAGCTCCTTGCTCCTCCTTAGAGCTGTGCGTGACTGCACCACGCTCCCATGAGTGGCACGTGGGTGGCTTCGGCATTTTGCGACGATGAGTCCTCAGAAGTGGGACTGTGGGGCCAGAAAGCAGTGTCTGTGCGGCTTCACTGGGCACTACTGGCTTCCCTTCTGCACGGGCCTTGCTCGTTTGTGTCACAGCAACACAAGAGGTGGCCCTCTCCCACCGCCTCAACACGGAACGGGACAGTGTGCTTCTGGCGTCTGCCGGTGGGGGAGGTAAGATGGAGTTCTAATTTGCATTTCTCTCAGGCTGATTATCTTGGCATATGCCTGAAGGAAACAGGCAGACAGACAGACAGATAGCAGACAGATGTCTCCATCTGTATCTAGATCTAGCGTACGGATTTTTTTCTCTCTCAGGTTTTTAAAATTTAAAAACATTTCTTGAGATATAATTCGCACATTATGCAGTTCAGCCATTTAAGCTGCACGGTTTAGTGATTCTTGGAATATTTACCAGCTCTATAGCCATCACTATAGTCTGTCTGTAGCACTTTTTCATCAACCTAAAAAGAAACTCCACATCCATTAGCAGTCACCGCCCGTTAGCCCACGCCACCCAGTCCCTGGCAACTGCTAGTCTTCTTTCTGTCTCTATAGATTTGCCTGTTCTGGACATTTGATATAACACAAGTCACATCGTTTATCATCTAACATGAACAGAATCATGCACTATCTGGCCTTTGTGACAGCTGCCTACTGAGCGTGGGTGGTGGGCACTTGCTGCGTGCCAGACGCTGTCACTAAACATCCAGTCCTCGTTGTACCACCATGGAGTCGTTCCTGTTCCTGTTATTCCCATTTTATGGATGAGGAAACTGAGGCACAGAGAGGTTAAGTATCTTGCCTCTGGCCCCACGGCAATAAGAAGATGGACTTTGGCGTCAGACAGACCTCAGCTTTGAGCTGTATCGCTTGCTGGGTCTGATTTGTGGAGTCCAAAAGTCCTTGGTACGTTACCTGTTGGTTGAGGGGGACGACAGTGGCTGTGTCATCGAGTTGTTGGAGAGCGCAATGATAAGGCATCGTTGAAGGAGTGCTCAAGCCAAGGCCTCAAGCTTCAGTGTTCAGTTAATCACAGCGGTTACTTGTGGACAGGGCCGGGAGAGACCTGGCTCCTGAGGTGTGGTGGACCCCACCTCCCTGGCATCCAGGTGTACCTGAGAGGCCTGCATGAAATCCGCCCTTTTAGAGTGTCAGTTCAGTGACTAAGTAGATCCACAACATTGTGCAACCATTACCATGGTCTAAATCCAGAGCATCCCCGTCATCCCCCACAGAAATTCTGTCCTGTCAGCTGTCTTCTGCCATTCCCTCCTCATCCCTACCCCGGAACCGCTCCCCTCTTTCTGTCTCTGGATTTGTCTGTTCTGGACATGTCATGCAGCTGGAATCGCGCCATGCGTGGTCCTTCGTGACTGGCTTCTTTCACTTAGCATGCTGTTGGCAAGGTCTCCCGTGCTGTAGCCTGTGTCAGTACTTAATTTCCCTTTACCGCCAAGCAGCGTTTCGTGGCACAGATGCACCGTGTTTTACCCACTCCTCGGTGGACATTTGGGTTGTTTCCACACTTCAACTGTCATGAATTGAGCTGCTGTGAAGTTCAGTGTGCGTGCCTCGGTGTCCTCCTGTTTTCCGCTCTTCCGGGCGTGTGTCTAGGACTGGGACTGTTGGGTCACATGGTGACGCTGTTGAGCTTTTTGAAGAACTGCAGAACTTTCTTCCCGAGAGCTCCATCATTCCGTATTCCCACCAGCAGTGTGTGAGCTTCCCGGCTTCTCCTCGTCCGCTCTGATGCTCGTTGTCTGTCTTTTACCCAGCTGTCCTGGAGGTGTGGCGTGCTAGCTGGCCGCGGCTTTGATTTGCATTTCCTTGATGATAATAACTAATGTGTCGAGCATGAGATGCTCGCTTTCAGCCCATCTCCCTCTGTGCCCTCGGCGAGGTGTTTCCTCTGGAAAGTCTCTCCTCGGTTTCTGTTCATCTCCTGTCTGGACTTGCGATCCTTTTGGCCTCTTAGATACTGATTGACGCCTCCTTAGTGAGGTGCTTTGGAGGACCTTTGGTGGGCTCCAGTGGCCGGCGGCAGTGTGTCTGGAGTTTGCAGCATGTCCTTGTTGGCGGCTGTGATGTTACTCTCGCGGCTGGCACAGCCATCGGGTGGGCTCGCCAAACTGCTAGGACAAAGCCAGCCTCTCCCTGGATGCCTCGGGGAGCAGCATCCAGGGGTTCTTGAACTGGAGTCAGTCTCGAGAGTCCATCTCATCCGTCCTTCTGCAGTAAGACGCCTGGCACCTCTCACCCCTTCTCTCTCAGCCTGGGAGAAGCTCTATCTCTCAATCCCTGTAGGAAGACTTCCCTGGCCCCATTTCCTAACCAGCCGGTGTTGTGCTGACTTCAGTGTGAGCCAAGTTCTTTGTGGATTCAGATCCTGCCTTGGGCTACGTTATCAGCCCCTGCCCCCCCTTCCTCTCTTGGGCCCGTGGGGGGAGCTGCACCCACAGAAGGCTTCCTTCTCAGTTCGGACGAAACCATGGCCAGAGAAGCCCTTGTGTGAGGAAGTTGGGACGAGCAGGCCCTGCAGGGGAACTTTAAGGACTTCATGACCTTGTCACTGGCTGTGGCCCAGGCAGCCTGCTGAGAGAAAAAGGCCTGTTGACTGGCTTCGGGGCATGTGTTTGTCCCACAGGCGGTGACAGCATTTAAAGGGCTGTGGGTGGTCATCAAATGCAGGTGAAGACCATCTGGCCAGCCTGTCCCTCCCGCCCTGCCGAGGAAGCCTGGCCTGCCCACCACAGAGCAGGCCCAGAAAGCACCAGCATGGAGGCAGATGGCATACATGTGTGTGCATACACACCCGGCACGTGCACAAGGCGTGCCCAGGGAGGAGGTGCGGTGTGGAGCTGGGGACCTCGTCATCCCTCTCTGCCGCCGAGGTCCTCCTCTCTGTGCCGCCCAAGAGGAACACGTGTGTTTTGAGTCTGTTTCTCAAGTTTTTGCGGTTAGAAATCACGTGTTTTTCTTGGCCCAAGATGAAAGCCCTGGTGTGATGGGCTAACACATTTCACAAAGCCGCCTTTAGCTTCTGGCTGCCTGAAGTCCCTCTTCGCCTGGTGGCCCATCTCCTCTTATGGTGTTGCCACTGCAGCCCATCTCGCGTTGCTCCAGGTGTTTACACACCCCTTAGCCTGCGCCCCAAGGAGGCTGCTCCTCACCTCTGTTTGCGAAGCTCCCCCTCCACCTCCCTGCGCTGGGCAAGGAGATAAAAGAGTGATGTTCATCCTGCAATCCACGTCTTCGGGCCTGGTCTCTGCCCGTGCATTTGTGTCCCTTCTCTCTCGCCTCCAGGCCTGACCTTCCACATGGTGATGGTGAAAGGAAGAGGCCTAGGGAGTGCCAGGGCAAAGTGTGACTGTGCTGTTGGCCCTGGAAAGTGCTCAGTGGGCTCGCCTGCTCCGGGATCTTGGCTGGCAGAGGCGTGCTAACCGTCGAACTGTTGATGGCTGGTGTCTGTGTGCTGAGGCCTTACGCATCTGCTCATCGTGTTCGTGTTTGTGCAAGCAGTAACTGCTGAAAATTATTTCAGCAGCATTTCTTGGTTTTGAGCCTTCCCATGCTGGCAAGGCCTGTGCACCTCCCACGAACGCCTGCTGGACACCCCCTTCAGCTGGGGAGGCATGGGGCCCACCGGCGGGCCACCCCCCCATCCATGCCATTGCCCCAGGGCACACGTCCTGGGAAGGGAGAGCGTGGGTGTTGAGGCCCCCCGGAAAATGCAGGACCTGTGAACTTTCAAGACAGTTTTTCTTAAGGCCATTGAACGTCATGCATTTGCTTTTCATGTCTTTCAGGTTTACGGGGACGGACGGGCCCAGTGGTTTTGGCTTTGAGTTGACATTTCGCCTGAAGAGAGAAACCGGGGAGTCTGCCCCCCCAACCTGGCCCGCCGAGCTCATGCAGGGCCTGGCGCGATATGTGTTCCAGTCAGGTAGGTGCCTGGGCATCCTGGCGGGCTGCTCCTTCTGCCACGAGCCTGGTTGGCTTTGGAACTCTCCAGCGTACTTGCAGTCTGTGCAGTGGCCCTTCCCAGGAGCGCCATGCTGCTGCTGTTCCGTGAGGGTGGCTTGTTCTGCCTGGTGTCTGCTGGGTGGGAAGCCACCCAGGCTACTTGCCCTCCATCAGCAAGTGGGTGTCCTGTGCTGTTGTGACCCCACCCCTTGATGCAGACTGCCATAATTGGCACCGTCCTTCTCCCCGCAGCAGCGGCCTGGCCTCCTATCTCTGGGGCTGTAGGAATGCACAGTTAGTCCTGAATGAGTAGCAGACAGCAGGGCAGAGCGAGAATTGCCAGAGGGGAAGGGGAGGTGGGGCAGGGCGTTGACGGTCAGAGCGTTGACGGTCAGAGATACATTAAGGCGTTGACGGTCAGAGATACGTTAGGTTCAGATGGCCTGTGTTCCCCCAGGGAGTCCCCCGGAGCCTGCTGACACAGACCCTGCAGTGAGGCTGTGTGTAGGAGCCCTTCCTCTGGCTGTCCTGCTCAGCCTGCCGTGAGGTGCAAAGTGGAGTGCATTCATGGAGAATGTCTTGTGTCATCTGAACGTTTCTGTGTGGCTGGCAGCTCAGAAGCATTTCCTCCATGAGCTCAGATTCTGCTGCTTCGGTTTTGTGGGTGCCTCTCAGATGGAGGCCGGGCGCTCCTTCCCGCCTCTTGTGCTTCTCGACTGTCCTGGGTGAGCGCAGAGCGGCATCCAGGCCAGGGGCTCCGAGGCACCTGGTGAACTCGTTGCACACTCATAACCATGGGTTCCACTGGAGATCCCGACTCAGAATCTTTGGGGGCAGTGTTCCCAGGAGCTTCTGGTGGAGCCTAAATTTGGAGAACCACAGATTCTGGTCGCTTCTGTAGGTGGCGTGACTTTTTATAAAGCCTTGAGTAACTTACAAGCTTGGGGTGCAAGAGACCTGTTTAGGCTGAATGCCTCTGCCCTTGTTCCACACCTCTGGGTGTTTGTTGCTGGCGGGTGGCTTTCCTGTAACGAGACAGACTCATCACCACCATCTGCCATTGTGTGTTCCATGGGACAGTCCCCTTGTGGGGCTGCAGCGGGTCTTTTCTTTTCTTTTTTGAGCTGGAGTCTCACTCTATTGCCCAGACTGGAGTGCAGTGAGTGCTCCCGGCCACTGCAGCCTCGACCTCCTGGGCTCCGGCAATCCTTCCGCCTCAGCCTTCCGAGGAACTACAGGCGCGTGCTACCACACCTGGCTAATTTTTTATTTATTGTAGAGATGAGGTCCCGACAAGTTGCCCAGGCGGGGCTTGAACCCCTGGGCTCAGGCAATCCATTCACCTCAGCCTCCCAAAGGCGTGGGATGACAGGCTGAGCCACCAAGCCCGACTTGCAGTGGGTCTTTTCTAAGCAGGGTTCCCACCCAGCGACCCAGGAGACCCCCTGGGGAGCTCGTCAACATGCAGATTCCTAACCCTCCCTGCAGGGCCTGACCAAGGCGGCCCAGCTGGGACTGGGGCTGCTGCTTCTCAACGTTTGGGCCCCCAGGGACTGTTGGCAGAAAGAAGTGGCACTCGCAGGGACAGGGAAGCCAGCGCCTGGGCCACCAGTCCGCGTAACTCGGTGCTGTCCCAGGATCGGTTCACAGCTGAGCCGGGAGCTGACTGCCTGCCCCCCGTGTGCCCCCTCCCCTCGTGGTGTGCCGGAGGCTGCCTTTAGTGTGGAGCTGGCTTTGGGGAATAGACGCTGCTCCGTGTGGTGTTTGGTCTGCTGTGGGACGGGCACTCTCAAGGCCAGGCAGCCCCCGGCTTGTATAGGCAGTGGCTCCCCGCGCACTGCTGAAGCCAGCGTACATTCTCCTGCGCAGCGATGGGACAGGGAAGCGCAGGCTCAGTGTTCTGAGCCGTGGCAGGCAGAGTCAGGCAGGGGCACCTCTGAAATAGTTCCGAAGTGAAAATGCAAGGCAGTGAACGGACAGGATGTGGTTTGCAGGTTGTCGTTTCACCTACACGGTACACATCAGCAGTGACCATTTTGCAAGCACGAATGCGATCATTGAGTCCGGAAAAGATTCTTGTTGGCCGTTGAAGCCTCTGGATCCAAAGGTTGTTGGGGGGCAGGAGATTCAAAGGCTCACTCCACAGGTTGCTGTTCATTAAGAGGAGAACAAGAATGCCTCCGCAGCGGAAGGCTTTGGGAGGACATCACCTTAGTGAGATGCTCAAACGCAGCAACACTAACAGCGGAACCAGTTAGGACGATGCTGTACCCCCCTTCTTATGTCTGTGACATGACATGTGTACTGTCAGCTGTGAAGCGTTTTCCCAAGATTGACCAAATTGAATTGTGAGCTGGCAGACAAATCCAGGTTGTGAGACATTTCACAGGACAACTAACGAGATATTTCATAGGACAACTAACTGCCCAGATTCTTCAAAAATATCAGTGCTGAGAACGACATAAAAAGGCAAGGGACATGGCCGGGCTCAGTGACTCAGCCTGTCATCCCAGCACTTTGGGAGGCCGAGGCGAGTGGATTGTCTGAACCCGCAGGTTTGAGACCAGCCCGGCCAAGTTGGCGAGACCTCATCTCTACAATAAAAAAAGAATTTAATTTAATTAAAAAAAAAAAAAGCAAGGGACAGAGGCCTCCCTGAAGGAAACATGGCAGTTTAAATGTACTGTGTTTACCTTGATGGGATCCTGGTTTAGAAAAAAGATCATTTTTTAGGACAATTGGAAAAATATGAACATAGACTGTGCATTAGTTAATAGTATTGTACTGTTGTGAAATTGGGTATGATTGTGGCATTACAGTTCTATAGAATAATGTCTTTGCTCTTAATAGATAAAGGCTGAGGTATTTGTGGATAAAATGACAGGATGTCTGCAGCTTAACTATCAGATGATTCAGCAAAAAAAAAGCACCTGTGTGTGGAGAGAGAAGAAAAGGCAAATGCAGTGACATGTTCATACCTGGAGAAGTGAGGGGATGACACCTGGGTGCCAGTTGTACTGTTCTTTTAACTTTTCTACGGGGTTGAAAGTTTGCAAAATAGAAGAAGAGAGGTGGTGGTTTCTTGAGTGGATGTTAGCTGCTGTGGGCTCTGCAGCCCCTCCTGCACAGGCGGCCCCTCACAATGACTCTAGCATGGCCACCATGGTTTCTGCCTGCAGGTCACTTTAGATACTTCAGAAGGGGCCAGGCAGCTATACTCGTGAAGTTTACTACTTGAGTTTCTGTTTTCCAGAGTTTCTGTCATATGATTTTTTTTTTTTTTTTTGAGTTGGCGTCTCACTCGGTCACCCAGACTGGAGTGCAGTGGTCACTCCCGGCCACCGCAGCCTCGACCTGCTGGGCTCCGGCGATCCTTCCGCCTCAGCCTTCCAAGTAGCTGGAATTACAGGCATGCGCTACCACGCCCGGCTGATTTTTTGATTTATTGTAGAGATGAGATCTTACTGCCCAGGCGGGTCTCAAACCCGCGGGCTCAGGCAATCCACTCATCTCTGCCTCCCAAAGGCGCGGGATTACAGGCTGAGCCACCGAGCCCGGCTTCTGTCAGATGATAATACTACTTATATAACAAGCAAAACAAATCTAGTTAAATTTTTAGAACATAGCAGAGAATACGTAGTAATAAATTATTTATAATTATTATTAACAATAATTTCAGGGACTCACGTCTGGAATCCCGGCACTTTGGGAGGCAGAGGTGAGAGGATTGCCTGAGCCCATATGTTCGAGACCAGCCTGGGCAACTTGGCAAAACCTCGTCTCTACAGTAAATCAAAAAATAAGCCGGGCATGGCAGCGCATGCCTCTAGTTCCAGCTACTTGGAAGGCTGAGGCGGAAGGATCGCCTGAGCCCAGCAGGTTGAGGCTGCGGTGGCCGTGAGCGTGCCACTGCGCTCCAGTTTGGGCAACAGAGTGCGACTGTGATTCAGTGAATGAATGAATGAATGAATGAATCCAGCCAAAACTCCCGCAGAACTCCCCTAGTTGGCGTCCTCTTGCACCTCATTGGCTAGAGTATCATTGGGAAGTGAGATGACTGCCTTGGCTGGGAATGGGTCTGGCTCCCTCCAGAATCAACTGGGTTTCTGTTATTAAGGAGGGAAATGGCCACTGGGCAGGCGAAAGAGTATCTACCCCTCCCACCTAAGAAGCCCCAGCTCTGCTTGGGGTCAGAGAGCCCAGCGTATTGGTCAGGACGCCAGACCAGAACAAAAGTGGGCAGTATTGTGTGGGAAGAGAATGTTCCAGTAGTGAGGACACGTGGCTGTCATTTCAACTGCTATCAGCAGACCGAGAGCCAAATCCAGCCTCTGGTGCCGAGGCCTTTGGAAAGTCCCGTGGTGAATGTGCTCCTGACGCCCCACTGGCCACCTCCTCCACGTCTGCCTTCCTCTCCCTTGATCGCCAGCGACTGCTCCCTGCCCCCAGCCTCTGGCCTCCATCGGGAAGGAGTCGCTTCCCGGTGCGGAGGCTTAGAGTTCTGAGCTGCGCCATGGGATCCTGCTGGAGAGGCTGCTGCTCTCTGTCCCACCGCTGGTAGCCTCCACCACGCATTCTAGGGCACTCTCCCTAAAACGGGAGAATGAGCCCCCAGCCTGGGAACTGACGACGTGTGCCGAGTCGGCTGGGCTTGCGAGCCTGGCCGGGTGGGGAGGCGGCCCCCACCACGGCACGGGGCCTTTCCTGGTCATCCGCTCGTGGCTGATGCAGTTCTGAGCGCTGCAGGCTCCAGCACCAACAGAGGTCTTGTTTTTAAACATTTTCTTTCCCCATTTATGAGAGAAATACTTGCTCGTTATAAGATCTGCAAGTTAGAAATACATGGCACAGAAGGTGAATACCTGTGTAATCCATTCCCTCGCTAAGAGAACTTCGGTGCTCCTATTTCCACATTTACTTTTAATGCTTATGTCTAGATAGAATGATCATTCTTTTGTAAAAACGGGCCGTGTTTTTCAT